GCCAGATTAGCATACTTTCTTGCAAAATTCTCACAAGTGATGCGAAATCCAGTGATAGAATTCCAATTCTGGTCTCACAAGCTCCCATCTGGTAGCAGTGCATCTGTTTATTAGGAGTTATCCCCTGAATGTGAGTGATTTCAGGCCTAAGTCACTGCACCTGTTGCTGGGAGGTATGTATTCCAGTCACCAGCCTAAAGCACAGAGAGTTATGGCTTGACATTTTATAGCTGGGGGTGGGGGAGTGGAAGGGGGTAGGATTGTCTTTTCAAAATCATTTGTTTAGAGTGGAGAAAATGGAGCAAAAGAGTTCATTGTACTCTGAGCACCCCTATTTGGCAGCATTCACATCTGCACAGCACAAAGCTGCAGTATTGATTCTTTGGCTTTCAGGGCCTCCCACAAGTTTTTTCTTCGATTGCCAGAGTTGCAAGATGGATTGGATTATATTTTACTTGTTGGGATGCTTATTTTTTTTCTTTGCTGAAATAGACATTGGTTGAAAATACCGCTTTGAATAAATGTCATAGTAATAGTGTGATTAAAAGGCTTTGGTTTGTTGATGGAGGAATTGCATTGAATACTTGACCATCAGACACACTGCTTCCTTTCTGCCCTTCTTCCTCTATAACTAGCAGCACACAGTACACCCTGACTATGCCTCCTACATAGGAGTCCCCAAACCTGCTAACTGTCATTGTCATTGCCACAGTGTTTCAGAACTTGAACCTGGGAACTGAATGACCAGGTTTCAAACCTTGATTGATTTCATTCTTACTGAGTGTATGATCATGGAAAATGCAATTTTTCTGTACCTCAGTTTCTTCCTCTTTAAAATGGTGATATCACGATACCTATCTCATACAGCTGTTGTGAGGATTTATTGTCAGTGATTGCTTGTAAAGTCCTCAGAAGGACTTCTGGTGATTATGAGTTGATGAGAGTAGCAAATCCTCTTCCTCCCTAACAAGTCTATAACACTGGACAAAATTGTCAAAGACCACCATTTTAGGGCGCTGGAAATTAATCAAAGCCATATAAGAAATTGGGAAGCATTTAATGATGAAAAGTTGATAGAACTTTTGGTGTGAACAATGGCAGTGTAAAGCCTTCCAGCTTGGGGCTGCTCCTGTCCCCCAGCTCCGTAGCTGTGTATGTCATTTTGGTCCTCTCATTAGGGTAGGGCTGACCGTGAAATGCAGTGACTCTGCTGCCCGGGGAAGTTGGCTTGGTGTGGAGCAGAGCTGGAAACCCGTGCCCAGCAGTGTTGTCCGTAAAAGCAGTCAACACTGTGGACAACAGATGGGGAAAACCTGTAGCCCTGCCTGGGATTGTGGTTCCAGGTGGGGAGACTGGAGGGCCAGTCTGAAACTGGGAAACCTTGGGAATAAAAGTTCCAAAGTTCTCTGTATGCTTTTTTGATGAACGGGAAACTACACACATGTGTCGAGGAGAAAAATTACCCAGACTGACTAGAAAATGTACTGTTTTCTGAACACTCTTCCTAACTCACATCCGGGTCAGTCAGCAGAGGTTAGACACCTTGTTATGTAGGTTCATGGTTTTTGTGAAAAGTCTCTGCTCCATCATTGGCTGGTCACTAAGCGTGGCAGAAGCAGGGGTGATCCCTAGGAAGCCAGAGGAGAAACTAAAAATAAGAACTAAAATAACAATAACAGCAGTCAGAACAATAAGGAGAGATTTCTCTATGGGGGAGACCAGCCTGCAGATTTAAATCCAGTCAAGATACTAAAAAGAAAATGTCACAGCAGCAGTGAGTCTCAGGGAAAGGAGATCTGAACCAAGTGCTGCTAACAGTATTTTATTTCAAATGTCTAGTTTCCAACAGCAAAACATTAGACGACATGCAGAGAAACAGGGAAGTTGACCCATCCATACTCAGGAGAAAAAGCGTGCAATGACAACGTCCTCTGATGCGGGCCCAGAGGTTAGATTTAGCAGCTAAACATTTCAGAGTGGCTGTTAAGAATATGTTCAAAGATTAAAATAAAACTATATTAGAGAATTGAGGAGAAATGCGACAATGACTTAAAAATATAAAATCTCAATGGAGATATAAAAACTATTTTATAAAGCCGTTGGAGAAATTCTTGGCACGTCTTAGTTATTTTATATCAGTGTGCTCCAAATAAATTCACATTTTCCTCCCCAAATACAGATACCTTAGCTTCATCTGAATCCAGAGATTCCAATTGAATAGGTCTAGATTAGGGCTTGAACATCTGTCTTCTTAAAAACACTCCACCAGATGACTCTGATGCAAAGTGATGTTTGGGAATCAACCATATAGCCTTGGCACGTTATTTTAAATTTTTTTCTTAAAAATACCCGATTTAAACAGTTAAGAAGTACTTCATGTACAAAGGAAGAAAGTGGGATTAAGAAATAGTGGCCCTACTTGTGATAATTTCTTCTGTGTGTCTCAGTATAGTTAAGCCACTAGTCTATACAAAAAAAAAAAAAAAAAAAAAAAAAAAAAAAAAAAAGTGTGGGGGGTGGGGAGGGGAGGATAAATAAATGTCTAGGAATAAGGTTTGTTCTGCCTTTCTCTAAAGATTTTCTTAGTTAAAATACTGACTTTTTAAAATTAATAATGATTGCAATATTTTTATTTCGATTATACTGTGCTCCAAAGTTTTATATGAGGTCACTTGTTTGAATTTCCACACAGATTTTGCTGCAGAAATAAGTGACCTCTCTGAGGCCCTAAAAATATTTCAATTAGCCCTGCCAGCATGGCTCAGTGGTTGAGTATCGACCTGTGAACCCAGAGGTCACAATTTGATTCCTGGTTAGGGCACAGGGCCGGGTTGCGAGCTTGACCCTGGTGGGTGGGCATGTAGGAGACAGCCGATAAATGTTTTTCATCATTGATGTTTCTATATCTTTCTCCCTCTCCCTTCCTCTCTTAAATCAATAAAAATATATTAAACTATTTCAATTAAAACAAATATAATAGTACTAGTTTAAGCTGGATTATTGGTAAAGGCAGTACAGTCCAGTATCTGAAAATGGAAGAAAACAATAGTGTACGTAAAGTTGACTTTTGAATTTGGGGAAGTTTAGAAAGAAATTCTTGGAAAGAGTTTGTTTTGACGTTTTCCCAGCCCCGTTTCTGTATTTACTCTTCATTTGATTGTGCACCTCTCCACATACTTTTAGTAATCTCATAAGACCATAAACCTTCCTAGTGAAAGCCTACCAAAGTTGGGGTTTGCCACAATCCCCTAAAGATTTCTGTGCTCCAGATTGTGTCCTTTTCTCTTCAATTATACCTTTAGTTTTTCTCAGTAGAACTGAGAGGTCAGCCAAGTTTGAGAACTGCAGTTTTCTAAATCATACTAATGTGTAACCCAAGTAACCCTTTTGAAGGATTATTTGCATCTTAGAAAGAGAATGCACATTTATCCAGGTGACGTTCTGTTTCCCTGAATTAGTGAGAGGCATTTTGCAGTAAAAGTTAAAGAGAACAAGGTGTGGGCTTAGGATCATCCTGGACAAAGCCCAGCTCTTTGGCAGTTTATATCTTGGAACAGTTTACTTCTGAAGGTTGGCATTTCTTAATAAAAAGGGATGTAATGAATAATTCATGGGATGTAGAGTAATTAAAGGATACAGATAAAAATACCAAAATTATTTGCTAGTATTTTGTAACAGGAACACTATAGATGGCAATAGGTTGGACAACTGAAATAAAAAGTTGAGACAATGTAGAAGTTTTAGCTGTGCTATCTTACATATAGGGAGCAAACCAGCATAGTGAAGACCTGATTCTCCCCCACACCATTCTTCTTGGCTGTTCTTGGCTTTTTCTGCCTTTACCCTTTCTCCTGTGCCCTGTTACTACTTTGGGATCCCTGGTTAAAAAATGGTTAAACTTTAAATTCTAATCTTTTATTTCATTTGGGAATCTTCTTTATAGCATACATGAACAGTGGTTAGCTATACTCTGCCTCATGCAATATGCATAAATTCATATAGGATTTCTCAGTAAGCACTTCATATACTCATTTTAGAGTCACACAGGTAGGAAAAGTGGCATGACAGATGTTTTTAAATCTCTGTTCTGTAGATTGACAGAACTGAATCTTAAAGAACTTTTGCCCTTTCTGGGCATTTCATCTTTCTGGCTCCTTTGAAGGCCCATCTACTGATTGTTGTCAGTTTTAAATCAAGTGTGTATTAATTGAACTAATTTATTGTGCCATAGTATGTTGCTGCCATAGTGTCTTAGTTATTTTGGAGGGAAACTGCTAAGATGAAAGTCTTTTTAAGATAATTCTACTAACAGGAATTTATATGTCTACATTAAATGAAAATATAAGGCCAATGTATAGCCCAGTTTTTATTCAGTTGCATAAATGAAACCTGTTTCTTAAATAGTTGTTACATTCTATATTTGTAAAACTTGTCAGTATTTATAAATCCATTGATTAAATTTGTTTTTTTCTTTAAATTAGCTCAAAAAGAACCACTTATTTTCTGATTATGACTAGATTATACAGAGAATATTGTGTTTAGAGTATTTTTTAAATTGCCTTATAAAAGTGAATAGTTCAGCTAAAGGTACATATATAATAAGAAATTCTTGACTCATCGTAAAGAGCTAAGGATTTAAATTAGGATATGAATGGATAACTTAAAAAACATAGTTTGTGACATGTCTTGCTCTTATTTTAAAATGCTTTTAGATAGTATACTTCATAAATAAGTTAATTTAGTCCTAACAGGTTTGGCTAAGTGGATAGAGCGTCGGCCTGCGGACTGAAGGGTCCCAGGTCTGATTCTGGTCAAGGGCATGTACCTTGGTTGCGGACACATCCCCAGTAAGAGGTGTGCAGGAGGCAGCTGATCAATGTTTCTCTCTCATCGATGTTTGTAACTCTCTATCCCTCTCCCTTCCTCTCTGTAAAAAATCAATAAAATATATTTAAAATAAATAAATAAGTTAATTTAACCTAAATTTATTTTTTTTCCAGGTTTCAGCAGAGCAGCTTTACCATTTGGGTTAGTTCGGCGAGAATTGTCCTGTGAAGGTTATTCTATAGATCTGCGATGTCCAGGCAGTGATGTCATCATGATTGAGAGCGCTAACTATGGTCGGACAGACGACAAGATTTGTGATGCTGACCCATTTCAGATGGAGAATACAGACTGCTACCTCCCAGATGCCTTCAAAATTATGACTCAGAGGTAAATATTCATGTGTTACTATCCCATTGTAGCTACTACATCTAAATTGGTAAAATTATTATTCCAGAGTAAATGGGAACAGTCTATATTTCAGTCTATGTGTTAAATTGAATTAGGATTTTACCTACTGATGTTCATTGCTACTATATAAGTTTTTAATATTTAAATCTTTATTGTTTTGATATAGATTGACATATCACAAGGAATATGTAACACATATACAGTATTTTGATTTTTAAAAATATAAAGGTTACAAATGTGTAATTTCAAATGTAATCTTGTTTTTTAGGGCCTCAGATTCTGAAATATTTTCTTATATCAAGAATGTTTAAATATCTGGGTCTGGCAATATTTGCACCTTAATTTTAAAAATTATTACACTTTATTTTTTACAGCAGAAATAGCAGAAAACATAGCGTTAATATGCCCCCATTCCCAAATGTGCACAACCTCTCTAACTACCAACATTTCACACCACGGTAATACATTTGTTAAAATAAATGAACCATATTGACACATCATTATTATCCCAAATCCATAGTTTACATTAAGGTTCACTCTTGGTTTTGTCCTTTCTATTGGTTTTGACGAATTTATGACGTGTCCACCGTTGTAATACAGTAGTAGTCACCCTTATTCCAGGGGATACCTTCCATGACTCCCAATGGATGCCTGAAACCTGGATAGTACTGATATTACTGAACCTTACATATACTATGTTTTCCTTTCTAAGTATATCTTTTCACTGAAAGAAAGCACTTACGGCTTCTCTTTGGACTATCTTAATTGCCAGCATCACCATTCTTGCACTTTGGGGCCTTTATTTTTAAGGGTTACTGGAACATAAGCCCTGAGATACCAAAACAGTTGATCTGATAACTGAGATGCTACTAAGTTGGGTAGTATATGCCGCGTGCATACGCTGGACAAAAGAATGATTCGTGTCCCCAAAGGCACTCAGAATGGAGCACAGTTTAAAACTTATCAATTGTTTATTTCTGGAATTTTCCATTTAATATTTCTGGACCATAGTTGACTGCAGGTAACTGAAACTGTAGAAAGTGAGTATGTGTGAGGGGAGATGGTGGAGGTGCTACTATACCTTTATTTGGGTGATACCATTGATTAATTTTTTTTAAAAAAAATGATTTGTTGGAAAGTGGTTAAAACTTTATATAAATTATATTTCTTAAATGGACATTTGACTTCCTACATAGAGAGAGAATACAAAAAAAATTGATGACCTTGGGTGTCTCCTTTCTTCTCCCTTAGCACAGAGCACCTACCTCTTGACATCTATTTTTTCCTAAATTTTGGTACTCTTGGCATTTTAATTAGGATTTTCTCATATGTATTAAAATTATGGTTAGTTATGGTTGAATTAGTGCAGTTAATATCCATCAATCACAGATATTTAGAACATAGAGACTCTCTGAAGAAAAACTTAACTACCACAGACTTTATTGTACATTGTTGCTTTAAGAAAACCCTTCATCTTTCTTTTCAAAGCCTTTACCCTATTCTCCCCTCTGATCACAATATTCTGCCTAGTTTAATAATTAACCATTTATTCCCCTCTGATCACAATATTCTGCCTAGTTTAATAATTAACCATTTATTCATTCTTTACATGTTGATCTAACAGTTCTGTGGAAGTGTTATGATCTGAGTATTAGAAGCAGGTCAGAGAGAAATGGGAAGTGAAGAATTATTCAGTATAATTACCTGTTTTTACTAAAGCAGTGGGAGTTAGTAGAAAGAAAGAATCTAGAAGAATTGGCTTTGAGGAATTGTGTGTAGGTAACTTATCTTTGTATGTGAGATAATACATTTTAAATACACAGTTGGGTAGCTAGCAAATACGTTGAAAGGTCAGTGGTGAGCAGACAGGTTAAATAGCCATCTCAGACAGTGATGAAAGAAAACTGAGTTTATTTAAGGAAAAGGGGACGGGAGATGGGAGTTTCCAAAGGGAAGGCACTGAGCCAAAGGGTATTATTGGGTTCATGATGGCAGCAAAAATGTACTCATTTTTATATTTTTCCCCACTCAGCAGTTAGTTTCATCCCAGGCTGCCCCAGCCTCTCTGGAGGCTGTGTGTGTTCAGGGCTCTGGGTCTGGCGCTGCATGTTCACAGGCTGGTTGGGGAGGCTCCCACCTGCCCAAGCAGACAGATGGGCACGGGGCCCCTCCCGGCCGGCTCCCTGGGCCTTCGCCCTCGGGGAGAGAGCCGCGCCAGGCCGTGCTGGGACCACTGTGAGCTGTGGGAAGCTCAGATGCGGATCCGCTGCAGGGACGGCCTGGCACGGGACCTCCTGGTAGAACCAATGGGCCCGTGTCTGCCCCTAGTTACTCGGCCCCTGGGCTGCCTGAGCCTCGGCACCAAAGCACCAGAACCTGAGGTTGGGGTCCCAGGAGTCACCCAGATCAGCCCTCGGTGCAGCTGCTGAGAGGGGCGGGCGGGTCCAGTCCACCTCACGACGCCCTCGACAGAGAGCTGGCCCTCGTGGGGGCGGCACCGCACCCTGCGGGCTAGGGGCGGGCAGAGGCGGTGCAGCAGGTTCTGTTTGGTGGACTGGTGGACGGAGATGGAGGGTGGCACGTCCTCTCCTCTCTCCAGGGGGAGCCTGCAGGCGCACGGTCAGGTCCGGGAGAACCGCGGGACAGGGCGTAGGCAGAGCCACCGGAGCACAAGGAAGGGCATAGAAGAGGCAACAGGAAAGCCCAGGACGGGCTGCTCTGGCTCACTGAGACGTCAGAGACAAGGGGGCCTTGGAGACAGGTTCAGGGGGCCAGCCCATTGCTCCCCTGGTTGCAGGTCTCATGGAGTCCCTTAGTGGGTATGTGCATGTGGGAGATTGGCAGGGTCATGCCCCTTGGAGGGAGAGAGTGCACTGGGTCCTTTGTCCTGAGCATGTTTATCTCTTTCTTGCAGGTGGGAATCTTAGGGGAGGTCTCAGGGGAGGGTCTTAATAGAATGTTCATCAGCTTTCCAGGTGTGCAGTTTGAGAGTCATGATCTCTGCTGATTGGTGCCAGGGCAGGGGATCATTAGTCAGTGTAGCTGGTCCTGAGGCAGCCACATCACTTGTCTGGTTTTGTTGCTTTTCTTAGCCTGGAGCAGAAATACAACTGAGACCTAGATGTATGACCAGTGGTATGCTACGGGAGGATAGGTTACCCTGGGGGCTAGGTTCTTGTTTTGCCAGTTTTGCCCCTTACTAGGCATCTGAGACTTTCCACCCTGGTAATTTTCTGTAACTGGCCCATCCTTGCTCTGCTCATGTCTAACATACATGTCTTGTCATACTCATAAATAACATTATAGGGAATATACAAGACAGACATGAAGTTAGTTATTTTTATTGTTTTAATAGAGGCCTGGTGCACGAAATTCCCTCAGCCTGGCCTGCTCCCTCTCTGCAATACAGGACCCTCAGGGTATGTCGGGCCTAAACCAGCAGTCACACATCCCTCTTGCAGTCTGGAACACTGCATGCACCAGTGACCATACTTTTCATACAGGTGAAAGGCATCTTGCTGTTGTATGTGCAGCTACATTTTTTTTTGCCCTGATTATAAAATGTAGTACATAACATGATCCTTCTGAGG